CCCTGTTAAAACATAGCGATGATGTGAGATCAATGTTCTGCCTAGGTAAAGTACTGCAGGACTACTACTTCCACTTGACAACACGTAATAGCTTTGTATATAAAATATCTATTAACACCGTCAACAAAACCTAAACCAACGACAGCAAAGACACATTTTACACCAAATACCATCTTTTACATTTACATTCTTATCATTGGATGAGTGCAAAAATGTAAACAGATCGTACAGAGTGATGCGGAGAGAGGAATAATTCTATTTAACAAGCCGTCATGAGTGGGTTTAGTTTACTGCAAAGGTACTGTTTATGCATTCACGGCACTGTAAGTCACTTTGGATGAAAGCACGACGTCATTCGTTTGTGATCGGAGAATCTCCACCCGTTTCTTTGTGAATGAGCGCGAGTTTGAGCCGAGATGAGAGTCGGGTCTCAAAGCTCAGCATCTCATCAGTGTGAGCTTTAACTCAGAGTACATTCGTTATGTGTGGCATCCTCCAGACTTGGGCCAAACTGCTCCTGCATGAACATCTGGTTTTATCCGGTGGCACAGTGGAGGTGAAACCCGAGAAATTAAGTATTTGTATTCTTGCAGCTTTTCACTACAAACGGCAGACGCAGGGAGAAACTGCGACAAAAATGCAGTTTTACTGACATGCAGTCCACACAACTTGAGTAATCCAGTTTGAACATCTTAAAATATTTCCAAAATATGTTCTACCTTTACTTTTCCAAATTTTTATGTCATTAAATCACAGATCTGCCCGAGGAAATCAGGGGTCAGTTCTGTCATTTCAGTCGCTTCTTAAAACATACTTTCTTTCCTCTGAAATGAAGATTTTCCCTTTTTTAACACTGTTGTTTTTATTCTTCTCTTAAATTCTGATGAACGTTTTAATTTTCAAACAAGGAAAAACAAAACTGTGCATTTGTTGGGGACTATTTTCAGCAGCGGATTAATTCCCATTTGGCGCTCTAGTGAGCTTGCGGGGCAGCAGGACGGTCAAGCTGTCCAGCAATGAACTCTCATTTCACTACCTGTATTCTGAAGCCCTTTTCTTGGTCATAATGAGAGCGAGCCATACATATGGTGCCAGGGCTATCTAGAGCTTCCATATGATAAAAGTTGCATGTTTTTAGCCTTTATGTAAAGGAAAGAACTATTTGTAATATAAGATAGCTAGATCGGTCAACACATCTTTCACAAATGTTTTGGGGTTAGGGTAACCCAAACCCTAACCCTTGTGTGGAGGCACACAACCATGATGGTGGGATACTGTACGACTGAGAAACTAGAAGAAAAATATGTGTTTAATTTAAAAAAGTGTCTGAAGTTGTCCAATTACGGTTGCCTACTTGCAGAACCAGGCTGATGTAACTATGATTAAATTCAGTGTAAATTAAAAAAGACTTTTTCTTGGCTTTACTTTGTCATACAACTAGCAACTAGCATCGATGGACAGTCAAGCTGTGTGGTTGAAGCTGACGGGCACTAATACTTCTGGAGCAATTCAACTGAGAAGATGTGAATTTATCTGTTTTTGTTGGAGCTTGGCTAGCAGTTTCTCTCTGCTTCCAGTGGTTGTGCTAAGCTACGCTAACAGACCTGGGCCTCCCTTATGGGACCTGACTTGACTAAGATGGGTGGGAAAAAAAGCCCCAAAAAATGTGGTGCTGTTCCTTTACAGAAAGGTGGACGACTGTAAAAACAAAACAACCCGGGTTTTACTCTCCGCAGCATCTCTGGTTTAAACCTGCTTCGGTAGCAGGTCGGTGACTAAAGATGCACGACATGCCGCTGCAGTAAAGTGAAGCCAAAATATCTGGCTGCCTTTTTGCGTTGGGTTCGTCATTTGCAAACAGATTCTACCAGGACAGCAGACTCGACTCCAAGCTGAGAGCAGGACCAATCCTAGCAGCTACTAAAGCTAGTGACTGTCCAAGATGGTGGTAGCTGGGCTTCGTGGGCGGACAGGAGGCGAGATCTTGGCTTCAAATTAGTACAGAGGGAGAAGGTGGCGACATGTTGTTCATCTTTAAATACGTGGTAACGGCCTATACAGGACCAAGTCCAGATGTCTATAGTTTTTCTCTCTATGTACAGTGACTAGACAGTGTCTGAACTGGTCCTATGTAGCGACCAGCTGGTAAAACACAAGCCAAGAATCACACATAAAACATATCTGACCCAAGTCTAGGGTCATCGAACTCCACTCTGTGCTTTACAAACCAAATCAGAGCTTAGAAGACGCTACACAACGCCACAATTACACAAAACGCTCCTTTACCAATTAGATTATGAATTAATCAAACAATTCCACCAAAGCTGGGGTAGGACCAGAATCGCTGGAGAGATTACATGTCTCATCTGGCCTGGGCTCACTTCTGGATCTCCCAGGAGGAAGTGGAATATGTTGCTAGGGAGAGGAATGTCTGAAATTAGTTTGAGTTTATTTTGATTATTTTCGCAGGGACAGCGCACAATCAAAAGAAATGTAACCAGAATTAGCTAGCAGCTAATTGTCCCTGGGCAGGTACAGAAAATAACCTTAACCTGTTGCTAAAAAACCCAGAACTCCGGAAAGCAAAAGAAAACTGATGAGTGGACGGAACTGGTAAAAATCAGTCTGTTAATCAGACATCAATCATAAAACGTTGCTGGTTTCATCAGTGTGTTAAAATGACAGCGTTCTGTCACTTCTCATTAACACGGCACAATATTCATCATTTACACTGGATCCTCCAAATATAAACCAGGAGCAGCTGATCAAAGCACATGACCAACAGCAGAGTTTATGCTTTTCAAAGAACTGAAAACTGTTCATTTGTGATGATCTGCTGTAAAGCAACAGTCACACAACAGCAGGACCTTCTGGTAGATCTCAGTCCGTCCATAATTTAGAATTCTAACTGAACAACTAAGTGATTGCTGTTGCTTCATGCATGAATGTGCTCAACTCTCCCACTCTGGAGACGCTCGTGTGGATCCTGCTGCTGCAGGTATCTAAATAACTCAGAAGAAAGAGTCCTGAACCGCTGGAAGCAACAGACTAAACCGAGACTCTTTGTGACAGCTCACCTGTCTGAGGTGAAGAAAAGTAAATGTATGTGACTTGCTATTGGATCTTGACCCCTACTGACCCTGTCTCTGTGTCTGAGGTCATTTACAAGTTCAAGTAATTATCAAAGTTAGCCACGTTGTTGTTCCAAATGAATGCAGCTTTCCTGCTTTGGAGCTGCTCGTGTGGATCCTGCTGCTGTCTGCTGCTGCAGGTATTTAATAAACTGAGGAAAGACTCTCCGACATGTTTTTAGATGAATATATGGGCTGAAGTGTTGAATTATCTTCCCTTTAATCACTTAACAACATGACATCCTGTTGCTAGGACCTGTCTCTCCATTAGTGTGGCTGGGTGCAGTTCAGACTTATTAGAAGGTCCAAAACAGTCTGAACCTTCTTTACAGAAATGCATGTCTGCAAAAGGGCTTTGGAGTTTCATTTACTGAGGCATACTAGATATTTCTGTTTAGAAACTGGTTGGACATAAACACATTTCTGTTCAATAACTTGTCCCAGACTCGTTGCCTTTACTGTACCCAAAGCAGTAGGCATACGAAGGCTGTGCAGTCATGTCCCAGAGGCCCATTCTGAACAGGGAAAGTCCAGCAGAGGTGAAGAGTTGGAAGGCAACCCATAGCAAGAACCTTTGGATGGACAAACCCTAACCCTGACCCTGACCCATGGAACTGAACAAAATAAACATGGAGCTGCCAAACCGAAGCGAAACCACCCAAAAACCAAATTAAACCTAAGGTATGGTTGAGATACTGACATATGATGAGACCGGTACTGCTCAGGGAAGCGGTTTTTGGTCAGTCCTCAACATGATCTCAGGCTTGTATAGTTTGTATTGTCGGGGTTTGAAAGCACAGACTGAGGCCCGATAACCGGACTGATCAGGGCTTCTGGGGAACCAGGCCGGGATTGGACCACAGGAGAGGACGTGTCATCAGCAGTCACCTTGGTAACAACCACAACAGCTTGTTTCTGTGATCAAATGTCCACTTTCAAAAAACACATTCTCACGTGGACGTTTCTCTCAAATACAGAGTCGAGGATTCAGAACGCAAGATAACACTTCACTGAATATTCTGGTGTGTGCAGAGAAAAGACAAGAAATCCTGCTGACAAATGACCCAGTGAGACACCTTCAGTGTAATCATCTATGGAAAAGTACCCAACATGAACCACAGTACCATCATGGATTAAATCCAGTGTGACGCAGGAGGACCAGATCCCGCGTCACCCTGTTAGGAAGTAAGAGCTGCTGGATGTGTGACGGGGTTTCTCTAGTTGGTTTTAGGGATCAGGGCTCAGTTATGAAAGAGTTCTTGCTTTGAGTAGAAGTTCAACTGTAGATTTATTTTATTTATTTTAACCCTAACCCTTGGGAAGCTACATGTGGAAATTACTTCACATAGCATATATGTAAAGTGAATATTTTGGGCAGAGTTTTCTTTTAGAAACTGATCCTACAAGTTTATATAATTTTATTTGACAAACCTCATCCTGACGTTAACATGTACAGCACTTTACCACAATACTGACATAAATTCATTTAATTTGAAAACATGACCTTTTTTTTTACCTAAATAGTTTGATTGTTATACCAACATCAGCTCATTTTACTTTATATCTGAATATGGAACGTTTCTTGCTTTTTAGCATTAATGTCAAGTCATTTTCTGTTTCTTCTGAAGTTATCAGCGACTGAAAAACCTAAACAGGGGTTTATAAGCACAAGTCAGACGGGTCCGTGCAGACTTACTGGTATTAATCCGTGATAAATGAACGTTTGTCCTAAAGGAGGGAAGCGTTCCAGAGAAGCCCGATGTGAATGTGCCCTTGCGGTACTTTTCCACAGGTTAACACACTGGAATGAAGTCACTGTGTGATGCAGTGCTGCCCCTGACACTCCCTCTCCCCGGTCTGTCTACGGCTCTAGGCCTCGTACCCCGTGGACCGGCGCCGCTGGTGGTTCCAGATGTCGTCTCTGTGTTCGGGCCGGCAGAACAGCCTGGACGACTGGGCCAGGCGCTCCCGGTGCTCCCGGTCCCGGTCTCCGCCCGGTTTGGAGGATGGAGGGCGGCCGCCGAACTGGGAGGAGGACGGGGTTCTGTTGTCGAGGAGACCAGAGGAGGAGAGCTGACCTCCCGCCGACCTGGAAACGTCACAAACACCCACAAGACAAAGAAGGAGGCTGTTGTTGTTGCTCGCTGTGACTTTAAAGACGCCCTACATAGGACCATGAATGGATGTGAGTTACTATGACAACATCCATAAACAATCACTGGCAGTTCTGCTTTTCTACACTCAAACCCAAAGCACCACAGCTTTGTATCCATCCAGAACCGATCTGTGGGGTTAGTCCACACTTTTCCACAACTTTTCACAACATCAAGCAAATTTTTGCTTGAGTTACTTTTTCCTCAATACAAAGACTTAAAGACTGATTTGATCTCATAGAAACATCTCATCCAGACACACTCAGTCATGCAGTTAGATGTTCTCAGCTTTTAATTTAACATTTTAAACAAGCTCAGGAAGAGTTTACAGCTTCAAACACAGAGTAAAAGCTGCACTGTCTGGTTCTGAACGGGTCTGTGGTCTCCAGGTCGACTGGTCGCTCAGTATGCTCTCATTTAGCTAAACTGTCATTGATCGGATCATTTTTGGAGCAACTTTTATGAGGAGAAAAGCTCTACATCAACAGCCTTTCAGGATTAATTCACTGTTTTGGTGGCTTGAGGAACAGACTCTTGCATTTTCAAATTCTGATGAAAAATCGTGACTTTAGTTTCCCAACCAAACAACACATCACAGATGAGTTGCTCAAGAACCAAGAAATAGCTAAAGATCCGACAGTGCTTTGTGTTTCTACAGTTTCTGCCTCTGATAGACGCTGTGGTATTCGCACTTTGAGACAGCAACCAACGAGTGGGCTTTGGGGCTCAGATGATACAAAACAGAAGGAGAACTTGGATCACTGCAGCAAAGACAAAACCCAAGGCTTGGTGTTTGGTTGCATTCAAAGGAAACAGGTGGTTCTATAGACACACTTGTGGATGGATTCGTTTCCTCACGGCGCCAGCAGCACACAGACACCTGTAGTCCTACTGCAGCCACTGAGTGGACGGACAAAGCATCACATGTTGAGCCATGAATTAAGCATGACGACAACACGGAGATCTGACAGATGACACAAGAGTCCTGAATGATTCAGCAGCCGCTCCGTCACCTTGGGGCTTTGCTTCAGACCGGCAGGAGGTCATCGGGCCTGTTGGAGGAGCCATAAGCCTTTTAAACAACCGCATGTGATGAGCAAAAAAGGTGCAGCTGCTGGTTTTCTTCTCTAAAACTGACGTGACAATCAATAAAATTAGGATTTGAGTGAAGGGACTAATACACATTTAAAACAGGCCTCCCGTAGAACTCAAAATTTATCGTAAATCCTCAATTTTTGTAATTCTACTTGCAGCACCTCAGGAAAAAAACAGCCCAGCACCTCTATAGGACAGATGTTCTGTAATCTTCTCAGGGTGTACTGTACTGTACTTTCACCATCACTCACAGATGTCAGAAAACCACTCGTTTCTAACCGGATGTCTCTCTGTTGATGATTTCAGGCATTCGATATGGACGTACTCACCTGCTTTTAGTGATTCTGTGGGGTCCGTTGTCTGTTTGCTGCTGAGGACACAAACAGGGTAAAGGGTCAGTTTTTCATTGCAGCATGTAATAATGCAGAAAAAATGCAGGAAAACCCTGTAATAAACTAATTACGGTGACCTGAACCATCCAGGCCTGCAGAGCACCGGTCCAGTAGCCTGAGGGTCCAGTGGCTCCGCAGGCTCACATGAAGAGACTATTAATAATTGTTGTTTTGAAGTCCTAGAGCTCAGCTACAGCATTACAGAGACACAAAGCTATCCCAAAATGACCACAAAGAGTTTCAAAATGACAAAAATAAAGAGAGAAAACAACCACAGAGACACAAAGCCACCACAAGGAGACATCACAGAGACATATACGAATCACACAGAAGCAACCATGCAGAGCCTCAAAGTGACTGCAAAGAACCCCAAAGACGCACAGAATGACCACCAAGTGTAGTACAATGACTAGAAAGACAGAAAATGGCTAATAACAGAAACAAAATGCCCACTACGGACACAGCGCAGCCTGCTTGTGTTGCTGTACCTTGTAGTGGTTGCACTGCGGCGGGCTGCCATTCACCTGGTAATACTCCACCAGCCTCTCGGCCAGAGCGATGCGTCTCAGCAGATTCTCGATGAAGCGCTGGATTCGAACTTTGCCGCATGTCTCCTGTCGAGCCGCCGCCTCCAGAAACTTCTGGATGGTGAGAACCTCTCTGCAGGACAAAGAGGGTTCAGCAGGTCAGCAGCTGATTAGACGTTAAGTTCGGCTCCAGCTGGCTCAAGCTGTTGCTTCATAGAATAGAATAGAATAGAATAGAATAGAATGCCTTTATTGTCACTATACACATGTACAATGAGATTGAGAGCAGCTCCTTCAGTGCCATGTATAATAAAGTACAAAATAAAGAGCAAAAAAATGAAAAATGCATGAATGTGCTCAACTCTCCC